AGAAGGGGGAAGTGGAGAGGAAGAGGGGGAAGACAGAGGATGGGAAGATGGACAAGAAGGGGGAGGGGGAGGCGGAGGATGAGAAGATGGAAAAGAGGAAGGGGGAGGAGGAGGGGGAGAAGAAGGAGAAGGGGAAGAAAGGGGAGGAGAAGGTGGAAGAGGATGATGCACGGACCAGCGAAGCATGCGTCGAAACCATTGTGTAAGACGAGTTACATGTATAGGTTGTCAACGTTGGCGAGCACGGATGTAATAAGTCCATCCACGGGCCAATGTCGAAAGAGCATGGCCACAGGAAAGCAAACGGCGGCCAAGCATGGTTGCCGCAGTTCTGAAATCATCCCAATTGTCACAGATCTGCTCAACCCGCGTAAGCTGGCCGGTGAACCCACCTGCAGGCTGATGAGACGGAATGTTTGACATTGCACTAAGATATCGTATAACAGGGAAATCCCATGCAACTTTCTTGTCAAACACACTCAATCGGAGAGATCCATCTGCTCATGTCTGCAGTTTCACACCTAAAAAAGTGCAAGAGCCATCAGCCGCAGTGGTCTCCTTCCATTCAAGACCATAATAGGTTGGCGATGGTGGCAGACAACCAAAGGTAAGAACATCATCAATGAACCGATAATTGAAAACATATCGGCGAGCTGCAGAGGGATCCACACGCTGCAGGTTGTTCACGTAGTGCGCTCATCCCAATAGAGTGTAAGGTTAGCAATCTCAGGACCAGCGTTTGTACCCATGGGAATACCCACATCTTGATGGCGAACAAGGCCATCCGCTGCATATAGATATGTATTAGTAACAATAAACCGAAGATGTTGAAGAATGTCAGACACAGAAAGAGTGTCAGATCCCGTATCCGTAGTCCATTCCCCTGCATGCGGTCCACGGACCACCATACGAAGAGCAACACAGGATGAGTGTGTCCGTGTGTGCTGGCTGTGCCTGTGCAAGAGCATAGGCATGTGCCTCATCAACAGCCTTAGCAATAGTGTCAAGAATCCATTGATGAGAAAGATTAGTATACATAGTAGTGAAATCGACCGTATGGGGGGCCAGACCTCGGAGAGAAGCTTTATTCTTTTTGAGGTCAAGCATGACCTCGTCACTGCTCTGGACAATCCAACATCGACGAATACCTTCGGATTGGAAGAGTTGATTATGTTTTTCACGGAGAGTACGGATGACGCCTTGAAGTGCCGCACTCAAACGAGCCGGACGTATGTGTCGTACTAACAACAGGCTTGTGAGGCGGTCGGTGATGCAAACGCTCGACTCTTTGGGAGGGGCGCAGGTCACTTCGCTGGGCCGTATGAGAAGAAGAAAGATTGTTGTGGACAGTGATACCAAGAATAGTACGGAGAGTGGGAGAAGACTTATGGGCCTTAAGAGCACAATAAAGATACGGCAATGTGTCAGCATGAGGATAATTCCAATGATTGTTCCAAAGTGCATGGCTATTCAGAATGTCAGCCACTGTTTCAGTGGGCCGAGAATACGTAGGACTATCAAGATGAGCAGAAATCTTAAAATGATACCAGTTTTTACAACAAATAGCCAGATTATGTGATGTTTTATCCACAGGAACAGTTGCAAAGGATTCTTGGAGCTGACGCAGGGCTGTATGTGAGTGTCGCAAAGAGTGAGGTTGTCGCAAAGGTGATGCGGCAGCCATATTGCACTCACAGTGACGCAAAACTGCGGCATGCCAAAGAGCCAATTGTGAAGCTAGGGTAGCAGCGCAGGATTGTCGTGCTGTCGGACGAAGATACACAGCAATATACTCATCAATACCAACAGCCAGTGCTTGAAGTATATCCCCCACTACCCATTCAGTCGAGATTTAGAGCCTCATAGAACAGGCGACGGAGGTTAGCATCCGGAATCAGATCATAGTTGGCGGAAACAACATGGCCGTCAACCAGATCGGTGCAGTTAGGAAAGGCCCGACGATAAGGACAATCAGCAGCAGCAGGTAGGCGCAGGCCCGGAGTGACACTCAAGGCAACTTCCGTAAAATTACAGAATTGCACCCTTGTTGGGCGTACAAGTTTGTCACAGATGCGAATAGTGCTGGCTGCCTGAGGGTCAGGGTGTAATGCACACACGTCCGGAGAATCCAACACATGGCGCAGCTTAGTGGCCTTCAGGATCTCGTGCATGTGCACAATCCTGATAAAATTTCCCAAGTTGTCACGGGAATGGGCAGTATATCTCTGTCTGACATGTTGAAACCGCCAAATGAGGCATTCAAGTTCATGGACGTCTGCAGTCATGTCAGCATCAGAAACATTTAAATAGAGCCATTGCAGCAAGCGAGCTCGCCAAGCAGGCGTAGCCCACTGAATGGAAGCAACAACTTCGGACCAAGTACCCGCTGCGCCTAACGTCAATAACCGTCATAACGCTGTTCGCACTGCCAGTTGAGGGCCCGGGCTAATATGAATGGTAAAGGCCCGAGAGGATCTGACAGGTGGAGATGGGCGAGGAGAAGCAGCAGAGTGAAGAGAAGCAGTAGAGGCAGGACCAACTTGCCGCCAGCGATCGGGGCGTGGCTGCCGTCGAGCAAGCGGTAATCGAGACATGGGCAGAACTGCATTGAAGCCCAAAGGGTGCAAGGTACGCAGCCGTCGGACCCAGAAGCCTTCTCTAGGTGCGTCCGCCCTCCAAAAGAGGGCATGATCAATCTCACCGCAATCATTAATGTAGAGCGCACGATCAATGCATTCATGTGGCCAAACAGAAAAAATTGAAAGGAGACTGTTGTCGCATAACGTGATAGAGATGCCGATGACGATAATCAACAGCAGAATGTCGCAAATGCCCATGCTCCTTCAAACGTTGATGTGCAGTATGGATTGTCTGGCCAACATATCACAAAGTTATCAGAGCGCAAAAGCAAAAAAAACAAAAGGAAACAAAAAAGACAAAAGGAAACAAAAAAGATATCAATTCATTTTTTATCTTCTTACTTACAACTCCCCCTGTTCAGAACCTCTTGCATACAAGGCCGCCCACGTGGATGTAGGTTGAGCGGCGGCTGCCCCCACCCCCGTGTGTCATATGGACCCACTTGCACACAGCCAAAGGGCAAAGAGGCAAAGAAAAGAGGAAGGGAACAGCCAAATACAACAAAACAGGGGGCAACAAGCAACAGCACCAAAAACAAATCCTAGATGACAAGTCCCACATGCAAGCACCGCCCCTCCTTCACAGGCCAAACGACGGCACAAGACCACCCAGGACAAAACTCTTGTCTGCAAAAAAAACTAGATACAGCAGATGGCCTTATTCGTCATCAAGACATGGGTATTCCCATTCCTAAACCATTCATGCTCTACCCCCAGAGACCTTATGATGTCCCTCGGTTACGCAAACAAAAAGAGAATTCCACGTTTGAGTGCTCCTGAGTTCACCTCTCCAAAGTCCCAATCGCCACCTCTTGTTCGCCCTCGGAGGTAGAGGTTGGTATTATGGTCATCCTCAGAATAACGTTCTGAGTTCACATTTCTAAAACACCGACTAACTAGTGCTACAGCATCAGCTCTTGATTCAAGATCATAAGCATCACGTCGATGCAACACGGACAAGAATCAAAGCAAAGTCAGTAGACACCATCTTCTAATCTCACCTTGAATGGGTAAGAGATCTTCAAGTGATAGTTCTCCCCAGATGGAATGTCTCTTCGCTCAAACGCATATGTTCTCTGCATAACAAGCAAGCCAGAAGTATGCCCCAAAAGCTTAGCGGATCTAGCAAATGCACACCAATGTGCTTGATTCAACAGACAGGAGAAGCGTGAATGCCTGAAGGAATAGCATGCAGAAACCCGCCTCCATTTGCTCTTATGATCCTGTGCTAGAGGGAATGCACTGACAGCCATTTCCTTACTTGCTAATGCAATACATATCAGCCCCATAGTGTTCTTGTCAAACAGATCAGCATGCTACAGGTTATGCTTTTCACTCAAACAGCAATCAGTTTACATACAAGTACTTATGGTACCTTCCAAGTTCAATGTATCTACCCAACTTCCAGGGCCCTCGCCCCAAAACCACCGGTATAGTTTGCCCTTTCCCCTTAAATATTAACTGTAGCTGCTGCAGAATCTGCTATTGGGCTCGCTATCACAAGCACGTTAGAATCCATGCAGCCAAGCCGTGTTTATCTCGGCCTCCTAGACTTCAGCACCCACAGCATGGGAGCCTGACGATCCTTTCCGTGTCCGGCAAAACTTTGGCAGGGCCAATTCATAACACCTCGGCCGGCAGCAGGTACTGGTGCTCTAGGGGACCTTGCACATGATCCTAGCAAGGAAGAGGGCAAATAAAAGCAACAGAATAAGCCCCAAAGTCAGACAAACAGCAACAGATCGTGAAGTACTTACGACCAATCCCACAAGAGGTCCATGTGCAATGCAGCCAGAGATGTGGGATGGGGAATGAAACCATTCACCGGGCCAAGCATGGGACAGTTCAAGTTGCTGGTCCCTCACTACACTTCTACGACCTCATTTGTGAAGCCTGTTCCCTGGTATACCTCAAGGCATGGAAGAGTCCTCATCACCGCCAAATAAAGTGGAGGGCGGAAGACGTGCGGACAAGCATTAGCAGCCAGACCGTAGCGTGTTCCTCATTCTTGCGAGCAGGTTGGGGTGCCCGACACTGACCAACAACCTGGGCTGTGTCCTGGTCGGTCATTTGCAGGTCACCCATGTGGTCTACGCCTTGTGGGGCAAAGTCCAACTCAACTCCCAGGTATGAGACTTGGTTATGTCTTTTTTTCAGTTTGTCTTCTTTCTTCTTTCTTACAGTGCAAAAAAAGAAAATTGTCAATGTCTTTCACTGTGCCGCAGGTACCTGAGGGGCTGTTCTAGTAGTTGCAGCAGTCGTCAGTTGACCCAAAATATGGCCGAGGTAAGAGAGAGGGGAAACAGATCCCAGGGAGTTACGTGAGAGGGATACGATTTCAACACTCATAGCATTCCTCTCTGCCGAGGTTAAATCACTCAGCCCTCCATGACTCACAAGCACAGTCCAATCAGACATATGTCAATGCGTAACTGCCCACGCCACAGTGCCTACCCCAGCTTCTGCAGGGCTGTAGAGGGTTCTGTTCCAGAGCATCTAGAGGGCTCTGGAGGGTTATAAAGAGGCCTTAAATCCCCAGGCAAAAGTGTGATTTCATGTAAGATTTGCTCTTTTCAGTTTTCAGGACTTTCAGGATTCTCAGCATTTTCAGGGCTGGCCAAAACAGTCGTCTCCAAGACCCCAACAAACACCAAACTTGCCACACGCAGACCTTGACCCAAAAAAAAACAGGGCAAAAAAAAAAAAAAAAAAAACAGAAAAAAAAAATTATTAACAATTGCACTTTTCAGCGCTGGGCGGGTAAACCTGGGGCTGAAAAGTGGGGGGCCCTGTTCACCGCTTGTGGGTTCTAGAGGGTTCTGGAGGGTTCTAGAGGGTTCCTCTGGAGGGTTCTAGAGGGTTCTTCTGGAATATTCCCACTGCGTCTAACAGCCGTGGAACACACTAAAAGAGTGCACTTCCGGCCAGAGTCTTGGGATATATTTACAATTCATTGAGCTTGAGATTCAGTTTTGGGGTACATCAGCGTAATTGCATCACGTGTTACACTTACTAGCACAGGAGTCATGCTCAGACTGGAAACATCTCTCTTGATAAGGAGCTCGTCCCGAAGCTCATCCTTCAACCCTGATGCAAGCTCCTGAGCATCAAAAGAACAGCATGAATTGTTTCAGGTCAAGCCACTCATGCACATAATGAGTCATGTCACACATCCTCAAGCTAGAAATTATATATATAAATCAAGAGTTAAAAACAAGACAATAATGATAATAATACATGAAAGAAAAATCAAGAGTTAAAAACATAAGAATGTAGGCGTCATGGCGCACTTTGTAATGCTTTGACTATTCCTTTCTACGAGGAGCCATGCCTCACGTCAATCATACACCACGGCCAACAGAATACCCCCTTAAACAACAAGGAGGTGGCTCATGACAAACGCATCAAACGGTAAACTGGCTGTTCAAATTGTAGAAAAAAGTTCAGCCGTCAATGAAATTCAGCTCGTCATCGCGACTGCTATGCGATGTCATCATTACCTTTCTAATTGCATCTGCTTCACTAAATGTGCGGTTGGAAACATAATACACCACATTCACAAAAGCCATCTTTTGGAAATCTTTTTAGATAGAAAAGAATATACACCACATTCACAAAAGCCATCTTTTGGAAATCTTTTTAGATAGAAAAGAATATCCTTACACTCGCTTTCAATTTGAAGTTTGTCTTCTTCCGTTTGTCTATCATGAAACTGAAAGTAGTCCTCCCAGCCATAATTCGATCTTCCGCTCTTTTAATCAAAAACTTTCCTTGAATCCCCCACTTTTTCAATGTCCTCTGCTTCAACCGCCCATTCACTGCCAGCATCACTAAACATCCATGCTCTCTCTCTCTCTCTCTCTCTCTCTCTCTCTCTCTCTCTCTCTCTCTCTCT